CCAAAGATTTTGAGTTGTAGCCTTCAATTTAGTCAATCCAATGATCAATGACACTTTAATCGCGACATCTTTTAGGCTTTTAAAAAATATTGTAGTAGTTATCTAAGAATTTTGTTGGCTGCTTCAAGGTATTTCCCATAAGGCGAGTGCATAAATTGACTTACTAAAGTCACAAATAAGGTAATATCTGACAATGTATGTTATAAGTATATCAACTTCCTCACCAATTTCCGATTCTTAACTGTATTCACTGGAGCACTTTCCTTCCCATCTCCCATTTTCTAGTTGGGATCAATTGGAGTGTCTGCAGGTGCACACACAATCATCCCAATTTTATTGACAAGATCAAGAACATACTTCCGTTGGGAGATCACAATTTCTTCTCCATTTTAAGAAAATACCTTAGAGATCCAACGTTCTTGATTACAAAATTATATGATAGGAAAGTCTTCAAATGGTTCATATCATATGACATCATTTCCTGTGAGAATAATATTGTCCACATACTTGATTAGTCTGGTTATTTTTTCTTTTTTGAATGTCTGAAGAACATTGTATGATCTTCCCGCTTCAGAGTATACCCCTAATCTTTGACAAATAATGTAAATATCTCAAACCACGCTCTCGATGATTGCTTCAACTCTTATTTGGATTTTTTAAGTTTTCACACTTTTGTGTCGAACTTATTACTAAATTCTGGAGGTGCATTTATATACACTTATTTCTCCAAATCCCAATTGAGGAAGACATTCTTTATGTCCAAATGTTGTAGGAGTCAGCAAAGATAAAGTGCAAGTGAGAAAAGAACCCTTAAAGAATTTAATATTACCCCTGAGACAATTGTTTCTAAATAATCAATGTCATATGTCTGAGTAAATCCCTTGACAGTCAGTCGAGACTTGTACCATTTAGAGAGCTGTCAAAATCTTAATTGATTGTAAACACCCATTTGCACATGTTAGTTCCCTAGGTAGATCAAACAATTCCCCCATGCTGTTTTTTTTCAAGAGCTTTCATCTAAACAACAACCTCCTTCTTAGGAACTTTCAGAGCATCCTATGCAGTACTAGGAATCTCGGTACACAATAATTATTAGGTAAAAACACGAAAATTGGGTAAGATTTTATACAACACAAAATGATACAATGGATGTTGGGTGCAAGACCTTTCCCCAATGGGAAAGCTAGACTTATTAGATTTCGGCTCCAAATTAGGCCTAGATTTAAGACTTAGAAGAGACTTAGAAATCAAGGATGAAGTGGATTGAACATAGCATAAAAGATTAGTTAGGGCATTACCTAAGTTCTTTGATTTTGGGAAATGCAAAGGATTCATAGACCCTTTCTTTTAAGTGGTCCTCTGCTGCGAGTAGTCATATCAAATGGTATCCTCGTCGTAGTTTTTTTTTTCTATTTTTTCTTTGTTGTGAACATCATGAGATTGACATTATAGAAACTTCAATATCTAAAAGACTTGACGCACTCTCTTGATATAATATCAATTTGATTTTTAGGTTGAACAATTAAGATTGGGGATATACTGTTTTGGGAGTCTTTGATTTGAAGAAAATCCTAAAATTCAAAAGAAAAATCTTTGTTTTGTTTCCTTATCGAAGATGAGGTGAAAAAATGTTGTAATTCAAAAAAATTGAAATTCATGGTAACATAATTTTTTTAGATTTGTTTTCAAAGCATTTATACCTCTGTTGGTTAGGAGTATGAGCAACAAATGCACATTTTTTTTGGCTCAGAGTTTTAAGTTTTTCTTGATTATGATTGTAAACAAAAATAACAAGTAAATATCTTTAGAGGTAAAGAAGATGAGAGTCGATTCTTTGGAATTTTTTTTGGAAAACATCAAAAGGTGTTTCAAAATTGAAAATCTTATTGAGTCTTTATCAAAAGGTGTTTCAAAATTGAAAATCTTATTGAGCCTTTTATTTATGAGAAATGTAGCAGTAAGAATGGCTTCATCTCAAAGATATTTTAGGCAATTGATTTGTAAAAAACATTGCTTTAGCTATTTCCAATAATTGTTTGTTTTTTTCCGAGTCACGTCACTTTATTGTGAAGTGTCAACATAAGAGCTTTGATGAATTATTCCTTTATCGAGAAAAATGACCGAAAATATTTTGAAATACTTTCAACTTTTATCACTTCAAAATATTTGAATGATTTTTTGAAATTGTGTTTGTACCTTGGAGAAAAAGTTTCTGAAAATTATTCTCACTTCATATTTTTCTTTCATTTAAATAAACTAAGCTTAACATAGTGTGATCATCAAACAAAGTCATAAACCATTTGTTCTCAAACTATGTGACATTTTATAAGTATGCCAAATATTAATATGAATTAGAGTAAATAATGTAGCTGATTTGTATGTTTGTGGAGAAAAAAATGCATGATTATGGTTTGCAAAAATCTTCACATTGAAATAATGACATACTTTTATTCTGAAATAATTTAGGAAACTAGAATTTTAGATACTGAAAATTAATATGATAACTTTTAATGTTTGAAATTGTCTTTAGAAATAAAAACAGAATGTAAATCAATATTTTGACATTTCTCTATTCGAGTAAACTCCATCGTTAAAAAAGAAGAGTCCGTCTTTTTCTTTAGCACTACTAATCATCCTTCTCATGACCAATTCTTGAAATTCATAACAAGAAGAATAGAAGTTAGCTTGTATTGATGATCAAAAGTAATTTTATTAATGGAAAACAAGTTATATGATATATTAGGAATATGAAGAACATCACTAAGGGTTAACAATAGGAAGAGTTTGACAGTTCTCATCTCGATAATTACTGTGAGGGAACCATCGATATTTTTTACTTTTTTATTACCTGCACGAGGTCTATAGGAATAATTTAGAACAACCAATCATGCAAGCAATTACGATAGAAACAAGTATTCAAGAATGAAAAGAAAAATGACCAATAAATTTCACAATTCTTCTAATTGCTCCTTAATGAAATGGACTACATTCAAGTTAGTATGAGGCTCATGAGTTTCTTCAGTAGTGGCTTGATAAGCTCGACATTCACATTTCTATTTTGATTCAAGTTTGCAGGATTACCATGAAGTTTCCAAAATATCTCTTTCATATGTCATAATTTTTTTACAATGCCCTCACTATAGTTTATTGCATCATTTTTTGTCAGTGTTGGCCTATTTTGACATAAGTGTTGAGTTCTCCTGTTTAATGTTACAAGAAGATTTTATGCTGCACATTATAATTTTTCTTCTTGATTCTTCTAGTCTGACTTCAAGAAAAAAAGAAAAATTTCTCAAATAGTGAATAGGGGTTTCTTCCAAGGATGCAACCTCGGATTTCGTCCAAAGTCCGATTAAGGCCGACTAAGAACATGCAGAGTCATTCGTTTTCTTCCTTCTTCCTATGACGAGCAATCATTTGAATTCTTCAAATGTCATCACAACATTGATGGCTGGAGGGAAGGACGACCGCTGGGAGATGGTTGAGGTTGCTGAAAGAAGGCTGGAAGGTGATTGACGACTGTAAGGGAGGGGTTGCAGTTGTTGGAGGGGAGGGGTTGCAGTTGTTGGAGGGGAGGGGTTGCAGTTGTTGGAGGGGAGGGGTTGCAGTTGTTGGAGGGTGTAGGGACAATTGCGGAAAGCGCTAAATTGCAGTGAGGAAGGTGTTGGCGACAACATGATAGCTGCTGGAAGTGTCGAACAACCACATGGAGGGTGTTGGCGCGGTTGGCAGCTGCAGGAAATGTGGAACAACAATAGGGAATGAAGCTGAAAGCAAGGTCGAGTGGTTTGCTGCTGCTGGAAGCGGGGCCGGAGGGGGCCGCGAAAGGATAAATGTCTTGTTGAGGTCGAGCTACAGCTGGAGCACCATCCGGACCCTTGGAGAAGGGCATCACCTCAGTGGAGTTACAACAGGAGCACCTTCTCATCGTCTAGCACAACCCCCAGAAGGGAAAAACGCCTCTAAGGCCGCACTCAGAAATTTGCACTCATAAAACTCCTAACCTCAGAAAGCAACACCTATATAAAGAGGGGATTAATAGATAAAATTGCTAAAGAGTAGGATAGGAAATATATATAATAGACAAGGAGAGGAAGAGGAAAAAAGTTGAGAAGGAAAGGAATTATAATTGAAAATCATCTAGAGATGAAATGAAAAGAAATGAAAGGAAAGGGGAGCCTGTGGTTACTGTAGCAACTATAGTAACAGCGTTCGCGGTACTATAACTTCTACTGTACCACGGTCGGGAAGCTCCCGCGTTAGTGGAACTCTTAGTCAGATGGGACAATTGAAGGGTTTCAAACACAATTTTTACTGAAGTTCCTTTGCGACCAATCCTCGCGATACAATCACTTGAGAGATAGCCGCGAAGCCAATGACGGGATCACGTGTAGCTTTTCTTCGATTCGGAGCCTTCGTCGTCGTGGAGTCGAAAGCTCTAATTCCTTGTAGGTTTTGGAAGGGATAAAATAATTATTCCTCTGCAATTTTATAGAAATCGACTACAAGATAAATAGAGGGGATGACTCCCACATTAGGAAAATAATACAATCAACCATAACTCTCTGTGAAAAAAAAATGAAAATTGAATTATGACATACTAATAATGCTACTTTTTAAAAACAGAAAATACCAAATAATAAAATATACTAAAATAATTAAAAAAACTTCGTAAAAATTACGGTTATCATTTGGGTGTAAGCTTTGATCCCCAAAGTGTGACTGCAAACTTCCGATTATAGACATTTGCACTCAACCAGTTCTCTTTCTGGAATGGAAAATTATTGTGTCTACATTACAAAAATTGGGTGGTTTATAGTCCCTGATTTTTCACAAAATTAATTTGCTTTTTCACAAAATCGCGGTGAAACATCTAATTCTATTGGATGCATTACCGAAAAATTGTTTGATCCGTTGGGCTTGTTTATAAAGTCTTAAGCTTCTTTCATGAAATGAATTTTGCAAGATTGGTATAATATTTATTTTTTTTACTTCTGTAGGTACTAGATGCACTGGTCTGCCTTTTCTGCAGGTGTAATATATCTGCTGAAACTCTATGGACTGGAGGTTGGCTTTTAAAGCAGTTACTTCCGCATGGAGAGCAAGAATTTACCCTTGGCCATCTTCAGAAGCTCAAGGTAAAAAAATATTATAATATTTGTGTTGGATTGAATTTCAGCAGGCTATAATTATTGTTTTCTGATGATATGACACTATTTTATGGCATTACTTCTTATGGGCTTTTGTTATTTTAATACTCGAGTTGTGGCCAAACCAGACTCGGTCAATCCTTATTGTGCTTTTCTCATAGGAGTTGCTTGTGCCGATTCTTTTTTTCTGGAATTGAACTTGTTCATTGAATTTCGTTAAGATGAAAATATTCCAAGGATTATTCACAGGATTCACATAGGGACTCCAGTGTCAATCTCCTTGTAGAAGCCAAAGGAACATGGTGTGATATGCTTTTAACTGTTTTGAAACATGAGTGGAGGAACTGTAAGAGAGGTAACTCTTGAACAATATATGATATTGATTTGAGCATCCTTCTTTTTTCCTATTTTACGTATGCTTCAGTGACACAACAGCAATCGAGGCATCTTCACCACATAAAGATCCCAACTCCATACTAATGCCACCACGTACCTTCTCTTCAGGAGGTTAGACTGTGAGTTTAGTTTGTTTATGCATTCTTGTTCCTGTTTGTAATTGGTTACTTTTTTATAGTATTTACCTCTAGATGGTCTTCAATATTAGCTGAATAGTTTTCCAGGTGAATCATCTTTTGCAGATGGTGAGAGGATGTCTGAGATGATTAAGGTTAGCTTTCATCTAATTTATGTATACTTCTCTGGTGATAGGTGTGAACTTTATTCAGCAGTTGACATTGATACACCTTGAGAGCATTAGTTTGCATAAAACTGTTTATACTTTATAATTATGACATGCATGGCTGTTCTATTCATAACAGTGAAGAATGGATGATGCATATATGTTATAATGGTTATAATGACGTCTTTATAAATTTGTTTGTTAGCAATTCACCTTTAGGAGATTAAATCTGTCACTTGTATTCACGATAGTCTGTTAAAGCTTAATGCAACATGTAAAGTGGTTTTTTTTTTCCAAGTTATAACATGAAGCGCTTCTGCTAATTGAAGTTCAATTATTACAAGGAAAATTATATGATGTTGTACTATTCATTAACCCTCATACAAATCAAATTTTGGGCTGTTAATGATTCAATGTCAAACTGATCCGCTGCTCGCTTAAGCTTGGCTCAATTTATTCTTTTCCATCTCAAGGAGAGCCAAACTCTTGTGCTAGCTTAATCCGATCTCAATGCAAGCTATGCATGGCTCATGATTCAAATTGATTCAAGCAAAAAGCTATTTTGATTAATTTTTGTATTCTTGAAGAGAAATTCTAAGTCCAATATACACACATACACACACTGGTACATATGAAGATTCATATATACAAATACATAAATGTGTCTATGCATTAAATTAAATCCAATACATACATAAGTTAATATGTATATACATTGATACTTTATTGCATATACCTTTTGATACAATCTTGAGCTAACTCAATCTGATTAAGGGAGCTTAATTTAAGTTGAATCTCATTTGAGCTTAGGCTTGTTAGATCATTGACTTTGATTTAAGTGAGGAATCAATTAAATTTTTCAACAATCTTAAATTTTCAAGCCAAATTTTTGCCAACAAATAAAATTTTATAATGATCCATGGCATTTTAAATCAAAATTTAATGAGACAAAATCTTAATCACTAGTAAGGCACAACTGTACGATGATGGGCGTAAAATATTAACTCGTTGTTGGATTAGTATTCTTTCTTAATTTGAAAGGAGTGGAGCATGCATGTGGTCTTCTCCACTAAGTGATATTGAAGCATGCATTGTGTCTCTGCTATGCTTTTTTGGGGGTTTAAGCATTTTTCGTAGAGCCTTGTGATACCATACAACTCTATTCTGCACCACAATTGAAACCTATGATTCTTTCAGCTTTTAACAACCCTATTGTAGAAGGGTGATGGCCCCTTCTTCTATAAACATAAAACATTTCACAACCAATTCATTAGGCTGTTGAGGAATAAACCAAGAGCAATCAGTTAACATTCCCTGCATCATCCAAACTTTATATCTTAAAGACCTTCAAATCAAATAATAGTAATAAAGCTTTCTTGTACTTTCCTTTTGCTTAGGCTCAAATTTCCTTATGTTAGATGATGCTATAGTATTGTGTGAAAAGGCTCTCTCATTTGTTCTGCTGTAAGATGGAGTAAATAGTTTTACAGTTTAGCATATAATTGTTTTACTCTTTCCTTTTGCTTGTTCTTTTTTCTCTTTTTTGATTTGTTGAAGTTTGTAGCATTGGGCAGAAGATTCAGGCACGTGGCTCACCCGAACTCTTCATTAATACTTATTTAATATTTTAAGTTTTAACTTTTTGTGCTGGCTACATAAATAACCATAATTAAGTCACTTTGTATGATTTTATTCAAATCCTCTTTTTTAATGTGCCAATTATGCTCACTCCCTTAAAACTTCCTCCAACTTTTATTTATTTCTCATACTTAGTATCCTCCCATCTATATTACGAATTCATCTCCTTCTCTAGTTAAATAAGTACATATTTTTCATTTGTTTTGCTCGAACTCCTAATTCACTTTTTCCTCACATTCAATATTTCATTCTCGTACTCATTTAATATCTCCACTCTTGCATTAATAATCCACTTTCTACTCTCCCTTCATCCAAAGAAAACGTAAATACTCACCCTTAGTTAACACATCAACCTAGCCGCATGTCACTTGCCCTATTTTGTTTTCATATTGTTTATTCTCTTTACATTTTAGTTGCACAACTGATTGTTTCCATGTTTCAGTCTATTTTTGACTTTCTCTCAATCAAGAATGAGAAGTAAAAAAGGCGTTTAATCCATCATGGATTCATTTTGGTAGTTACTTTTTGCTAAATTATCCATTTGGATAATTTCGATATGATACATTTTGAATTTAAATCCAATCTTATGTTATTATCTATATTATGGATTTTCTTTTTTTTAATAGATTATTGATTGCATAAATAAAATTATGGCTTGATTTTCTAACCTCCTTTCGTCTTCTCTTAGTTTTCATTTCTTTTTCCTTTTTTTTTTTTTTTTTGCTTAATTTTCATTTTACATTAGTTTGTTATAAAAGCTTCATAGCTATTATCTCAGCTGCACCTCACGCTGCATCTACGAGTAACTCCCTTGCTTGTGCACTTGATCATGTGAGCCCTTCATTCTCTAGTGGCTCACCCACTGTATCCCTCTGCTCTATGCTCAGCATTGTGTTTGCATCGGCGGCAATTTCTTAGCTTGACTGTGCTCCATCCCTCCCACCACATTTGTTACCTTTTGCATTAGATCCTTATTCCAACAGCACTTGCAAATTTAATTAGTTGGTACTTTTTATGTACGTTATTGTGTCATTTGCAGCTTTTTATGTACGTTATTGTGTCATTTGCAGCATTCTTTGACCATTCCTATCAATAATGACAATGTATTTTGATTCAACTTCGCTGGATTATCTTGGAGATTTGCTTCATGACCTTCAGTACATTTACTTGAGGAAGAAAGGAACATGCACTGTTTCTAAGGAACGTTCCTTTATGGTATCATCATAGACAACCTAGGGAAAGGAACCATAGAGGTTGAAAAAGAACTAGATGTTCAGCGTGCCAATCATCAATCCTTAAAAGAAAATTTAATGAATAAATTATTGGTAGTTTTATTATTTTAATTCAATTCAATAAGTTGCAGAAAAAGTTTTAGGTGGCAGGAGATTTCTTTGAGTTTTACTAGTGTCGTAAGTATTGTGATGAGATTCGTCAACTATTATTGGTGATTTTGGTTTTGGGTATTTCTCCCCTTCATCACTGTCTTGTGATGGATTTCCCCTTCATTTCTTCACTTTGAGATGGATATTTTTTTATGTTCAACTCTCCTCGGAATAAATGTTGCAAAATGTTAGTGTGGTTGGTGACTTCTTGTATCCTCTCCAACAACATGAGAATTCTCTACAGTCGAAGTTTATCTACTTTTGGGGAATTGATACAGAATAGATTCACTTTAAATTTATCTTGACATTTATCTCATGTAAAATAATTCATTTGGATTATTATTAAGGTAGTATCAAATTTAAATTTGATCTTATCTGATTGTCCCTATTTTTATAATCATAGGAGTTTGTTTTGTAATAAATAATTGATTGAATGTGATTATAACTTGATTTCTTGCTTCTTTGCCTCTTCTCTTTGAGTCTTCGTCAATCTCTTCCTCATGTTTGTGCTTTCTCTTTCACTTTCTTTCTCTTCTATGTTTCCTTTTCTTCTCTAAATTATAAATAAGATGGAAACAATATACACGGTAAGAAATCTATGTATTTCTCACCCGCCAAACCTCTCTATTTTTTCTCTGACCTTTTGGTTTGCACTTTTATGTTTTAGGTTTTTGTGCTGCAACGCCAACTGCTCATTTTTTCTTCAGGAGGATTTCTAGCAGAACAGCCCCCTTTGAACCCTCCTATGAATTCTCCTGTAGATTATAACGCAAAAACTGATTATTTGGATGTATTTCCTCCAAAACCTGGCAGTGAAATAAACTCAGGTCGACACTGTACCATTGTGTTTTGTATAAATAGCCCAATTTTTTTTTTTGAAGTTCCATAATCATCATAATCATATCATGTGGTTCATTATCAACGCCATTTCTTACCTTTTTCTCATAGTAAATGCTGATTTTGTGAAATATGCAGAGAGTGCTCTGCCTTGCAGAATAGCATTCGAGAGAGGGAAAGAAAGACACTTCAGCTTTTTAGCTATATCGAAGGGAATGTCTGGCTGGATTATTCTTTTAGAAGAATTGCCACTCGACCAGCATCGTGGGGTGGTTCGTGTGTCAGCGCCTTTGGCTGGTTCTGATGTATGTATTTTTGAAATCGATCAATTTTTTGTGCTATTACTGATCTGATAATTTCTTCATAGGTTCATTTAATGATAATAATTTCTTTCTTCATGCGATCGTGAGATGGGATTTTAAAGAGTCTCTTTCTTTAAATCACCAATTGATGATTTTTCTTTTTTTCAATTTTTCATATCTTTCTGCTCTAGTAGTTATTATTACAGCATATCTTGTTAGAGTATGTGAGTAATTGTTCATTATGATTTCTAAATATTTTAGTTGTGTCCATTTCAATACTAGTTTTTTCTCGGTGTTCAATTCTGTTTCTTAACTTACTAATTTTAACCAAATTTGTCTAACTATCAACAATGTTGTCTCCTCTGTTGGAAATTGGAGGAATGCTTCTCATGAGGGCCTTTTAGATTTTTTTAAGGTTATCTTACTATTTAATATTAGTTTCATGCTTGTGAGATTGATGTTGAAGATCTAAAATGCCCTCATTGATAACTTCTCTCTATCTATTTTTGTTTAAAGAATTGATAAAATGGATAGTAGGACTAAATTAGTTTAAATTTGGTGAGTTGAGGGGCCAAGTTGAATATCCGAAGCAATCATAGATTAAAATGAACATATCTAAAAAATTTCGGGATTATTTTGGTCATTTTTACTATCTCATTAACATTTCTATCATGTGTTGTGATAATTAGCTTTGCTATAGAGTAAATTGGCTACAATATAATTTGCATGTGCATGTTAGTTATATGTAGAGCCGTAAATTAAATTCAAGTGTTTTTCAACCAAACTGTAGTTAAACAAAAGTGTTAAAAAACTTGTGTTGGGTTCATTGAGCTGAATTTGAGCTATTCTTGATTATTTATGAAGTTTACTTGAAAGATTTATTTAAAGTAGAGAATATAAATGTCACAACATTAAAGTGTTAAAAAACTTGTGTTGGATTCATTGAGCTGAATTTGAGCTATTCATGATTATTTATGAAGTTTACTTGAAAGATGTATTTAAAGTAGAGAATATAAATGTCACAACATTTTGTCCATCAATCCATCCATCCATCCATGCATAGATACATCCATAGATACATGCATGCATCCATGCATTTATACATGCATGCATATATACATTGATCAATACATACATAGATACCATCCATCCATATTGATCCATACATGCATTAGATGCATGCATGCATAGATACATAAATCTATACATACATATGCACCCCATAAACTTACAAACATACTTGAGAACCTTGAATTAGGTCTTGTTTATGTTCAGCGCATTAAATTAACAAACTTATTAAAATTTTAATCAAAGACAAGCTAATTATCAAGTCAAACATTTCCCCTAGTTATACTTGGTAATAATATTATTGTTGATTCTTATTACGTTTTATTAGGGAGAATAGAACAAAAGCGACTTGACTGATTTTATTTTACTTTTTTACCAAAAACTTAAAATCTTCTTTACATATCTCTGCTTTAAACAATTCCTGGTAAACACACATTTGTCCTAAGAAAAAATTTCATCCAACTCCTCCATTAGCCAAGAATCGATGAAAAGCATCCAAAGTGGCTCAACTTGCGCATCCGTCCATCCAACCTTCCAGTTCTAGACTCCAAGCACAATCCCCTTAGTAGGCCGAAAACAAAGGTTTTGGTTGATGGCAGATGGACTTTAGCATTCAGGGATGATCAGGACTGCAACTCAGCTAAGTCAATGGTGACTAAAGAACTGCATCTGCTACAGAATCAAGTCGCGGAAACCTTAAAGCCTTTATTCGATGACCATACAATGATCTTTTCATCAAAACCCTTGCACAAATCCTCCGACGGACTTCTCGAAGAACAGCCATTAAACACCGGGTGAGAAATTTTGAATTAATGTGATGGGAATTTCTTGAGGATTTGGCTGCACATAATGTCATATTTTCATTCACCAAGTGCTTGCCAGAATTAGTGGCTTTGTTCCCACCAGCTGCAGGCTGCAAACTCTCCATAACAGTCTGAAGAGTTGGAAACGTTTCCAGCTGACTGCTGCTCTACGGTTAAATTCTTTGTATATTAGTTTTCTATTTCAAGATCAGCTTTTAAACTTGATGCTTTAATGTATAATTGTTGCTCCAAGCTTCATTCTTTTAACAGGGCCATGGGGCTTAATTTGATTTGTATATATTCTGATATAGAAATATGATTCAGTGGTGCAGATCATCATTAGTTTGTAAGAACTGCTTCCTGCTTAACCATAAAATCCTTTTATGGGTATTTACGTACATACCATAAACATCATGTCAAAAATATCACAAAGTTTTTTGAAAATGAGACGCACCTTTTCATGCCTAGAACTTTAATCTTGAAGTGCTGTATATGTAAATATTTAAATTTAACTGTTATCTGTGTAAATACATAAGAGTTGTGGTATGTTCGTAAATTTCCCTCCTTTTCTTTTCTTGATGCTCATTGCTTCAGACAGATCGTCAACTATTCTGAACCTAAACCTATTCATTATGTTGCTATTTATGGATTCCAATCAGCAATTTTGCTTCTTATTTGCAGAATAGACCAATAATTGTTACATTTAGCTTTTAATACATTCATAGCAAGATGGGCTTTTTTTATATTGGACAAGTCGCATGATATTCCATTTCTTCTGTGTTTTTAAACAACTAAACAATACTAATTATAGTAAAGAACAAGAAGGCCGCCCTTAGAACTTCATTTTCCCGTTTTATATTTCATTAAAATTCTAAATTCGTTCGTGCTTGCGGAATTTCAGATTCATTGTTTGGATTTGGTTTGAATTGTAAATATATGTTTCAAAATAAATAAAAAAATAAATGTTGTAAGAGAGCCTGTCCCAAAAATTATGGAAAAAATATTACATCAGGACTCTGCACGTAAATGTGAAATTATACCGTAGTGGTGATCGTATTATCCCGTATGAAATTACGCCCGATAACACGAGAAAATGTTCCTTTTGTACTATTCAGGTGTATGTTACAGGCCCGATCACCTCCACGACGTAATTTCATTGGACTCTGCACGTAACTATACGTGCGGAATCTTGATGTAATATTTTTTCAAGTTCATGGGAGGATCTGCGTCGAGGAATTAGTGATTAAAAAAAAATAATGTATAATTAAAGCAACCGTAAAATGTCCTGATACCTGCAGGATTGGGAGGATCTCTGCCGCACAAAATGACAATCAATGCAAGTCAATCTATGAAAATTTCCATATAATATACTACATATAAGAAGATTGACTAAGAACATGAAATGTAAATAAAAGATACAATCAAGTAAATTTGTAATTGAATATCACATTCTCATTAAGCTTATTATTTATCCAAAATCAGTTTTAATACCTCACATAACAGTTCCAATCAAACTGTACACACAAATTTCTATGACCAACACCCCCAAGTAAAACAAATAAACATTTTGTTTCAGTCATCAAGAACCAAAAGTTAGACAATAAACATCATAAAGATCATAATAAAGTCAATATACCACCCCAATTAAACAACAAAAAGGTTAGAAGTTCCAACTCAGATTGACATTGAGAGCCCTACTCATCCTTATTCTCCAGTTCTGTTTTCCCACAGCACCTGCTCATCTATCTGGCTGAGCACCTCATCATCAAGTCGCTTCCAGGTCCTAATGGTTTCGACTCCCAACCAATCCTTCATTCCTTTCTTAAGCTGCGCCGAGATCACCCTCGCTCTCCCCGGCCAACTAGCTCGGCCATATGCATGGTATCCAAAGCCTCCGCCGTAACAGAGCCAGATACCATCAAGATTTCCGCAGAAGTCGTTCAGATGATCATGGCCGATGAAAGAGGCCTTCACATCTCCCATGGAGCGTAAGGTTTTTAGGACGCCAGAATTGACGATAGAACAAGCTACACCCTCCTGATATTGGCCCACAATCTTAGTGTACCAGAGCTGTCGAACCTCGGGGAATGGGATGTGGAAGAAGGTGAGTGCTGGTGCTTGGAAGATTGCCTGTAAGTTATAAGTTCTTTATGATGTTTGATTGTCTATTGGTTCTATATTTTTATTGCAGGCAGTATTTATGGTAGCCATCATTTCTCAGTTGTAAGCAACTTCTTGTTAAACTGCCCTTGGTATTGTTTATCCAGAACAAGCTCCTCCTAAATTGAGCTAAATTAGAGAACCAAAAAAAAAAAAAGAAAAAAAGAAAAAAAAGAACGATCTTCTATTTTGATATCTTTCGAGTGTTAATCCTATAATTCTTCTAAGGTAATTATGGGTCTGTTTCACGCGACTTTTTTGTCACGTCGCGGCCCGTGACCGCGTTTTTTTTTTTTTTTTTTTCGTTTGGCCCAACGGCAGCGGCTTGACTTCGAAGAATCAGAGCGAAAGTCGGGCCGCTGGTTATACCCAGCTGCCCGCTTTTTCCCTAGCGAATATTATCGCTTTACCCCTCCCGCCCCTCCCGCCACGTTCTTCGTTCTTGCCCTAGCCGCGCACCGCCCTCCTCCTGCGCGCCAAAAATCTTCCTTCGGCCCCGTTTTCCTTCTTCAGGACTTCTTCGCTGCCTTCGACCGTCCCGTTCTTCTTCTTCTTCCTCTTCCTCTTCTTCGGAGTTCTTGCAGTAATATTCCTTCTCTTTTTTTTTGTTTTTTCTCCTTTTTTTTTTTTGGATAACAAACGACGATTCTCCCTTTACAGCTCCGATTTCTTCTTCCTCCCACGTTCTTGGCCTCCTTTGGTCCGTTAATTCCAATTTTCCGTTCATTCCAATTTTTTGAGAGTTGGTTCCTTTCATGATTTTATACTTTTGCATTTTTAATGGGAAAATCCAAGTTTAGAGCCTCAAGATCCTTTTACAGACATGCAGAGTTACTACGTTTCTTCCTTGCTTGATGTGCATTAGCAGTTTAGTGAAGATTTTTCTTTTGGGAATTCAGCGCTAGTTGCAGGGAATATCTGCATCCAAATACAGAAATGCTTTTATGGGAATTGAGCTTGCCTTTGAGTGCATTACATACATAACAAATAATTGCTTACAGAAATGTATTTGGAATATCTGCATCCAAATACTTTTCATTGCTTTCCTTACAATTATTAAAGTTTAAGTGTTAGATATGCAATCACAAAAGAATTTTTCCATATTTTCATACATGTATTGGAGGATTAAAGTTTGGTAGAGCAGGTGCAGCCTTGTAAATTCCATGGGAATGACAAGGTTTATATGTTTCCATCGTTGGTTGCAATTTTTGCAATTTTCTGCTAGTGATTCATTTTCTGCTAAATGATAATTGGTTGCAATTTTTGCAATTTTCTGCTATTTGCTAATGAGTTATTTGCTAATGATTTTTTTTCAGCTATTTTCTGCTACTTTTCAAATGAGCGTTGGTTGTCAAACTGCTTGGTGTTTGCATTTGGTAGTTGGCAATTTGTTGATTGTGTTATGCATTTCTTAATGACTACGAAATGGAAGGACTTCATGCTTCCATGGAGCCTGTTATGGGATCTTGAATTTATCTTGAAAACATAAAATGAAAATGATTGATGGCCAAATACCATCTGATCTTGCGAAATTGATAAATCTGTTAATACAAGAGAGTTGGGTGGTATGTGTGCAAATGCTTGGTTATTAAATGCTTGTAAGAATGCTGGTATGTGATATGCATGGAAATTGACCAATATACTTGTTATGAAGGTTTTTGAGGGCCTGAACTTGAAGAATTAGCCGCTGATTATTAAAGGTTATGTCTTATTAGTTGTTTTTTCATCCAAAATGGATTTGTAGGCATTTTTCTACAAATGAACATATTGTGGGAATGTATGGGTAATTACTCATATTATGATGCTTATGAATTGAGTTGTTTTTGTATTTTTTTATTAGTTAAATGTTTGTTTAGGCCTAGTTGTGTTGAACAGTTATTTAGGCCTACAAATGAACATATTGTGGGAATGTATGGGTAATTACTCTTATTATGATTTCAAAGTGCCTGATGTATTTTGTGGAAGTCCATTCAATTTCTGTTAAGGTGGATTTAGGCAATCCATGTGGAAGCATGACTTCTGCCTTTGATTTGCATACTCCTAATGAGTTGGAGCTTGGGAATTTTTGGGTTTGGGGATTTTGCATCTTGTATTTTTGGGTTTGGGGCTTTTGCAGAATAGAAAGGCTTTAATTCTGCAAGTGTATTTGGGGCTTTTGCACACTCCAAGCATTTTATAAAAAATTGAATTTTGGGGCTTTTGCATATTGTATTTTTTGGGTTTGGGGCTTTTGCATACTCCCTGCAACATTACTGCCAGGTTCGGATGAGTTGGAAGATTTGCTTGGAATTCTTATAGCAGAATTGTATGAGCAGAATTCTAGCCATTGCATGCTTATTTGAAATTTAAAAATTCTAGCCATTAAAGATTGCTGCCAGGAATCATTAACATGGTATGAAGGTTTGAGAGGTTTTGCAATTAGCCAATTTATGCTTAATATTATACAACTTGCAGGTTTTGTAGTTTACTGATTTTGGTCGTTTGCTCTCTATAGAATGAGCTTTCTACTTATAAAACATACATTGCAACAAGTGAGCTTCTTTGCAACATAAGAGTTGAATGAAGTATGCATTAGCTTATAAATATTGTATTTCTTATATTTGGTAGTTTCCTGAGTGATATAATTTTCTGTTTCCTATAAGCATATTTTGCAAGGTTGGTGGAATTTGAAGAGCACATGTTTGCCTATAAGCAGTTCTGTTTCCTTTTTTATCCTTAAAAGTAGTGACATGGCCAAATGTTTGTTTAACTTCATCTGCGGTTCATACCCAACCTGTCGGGTTCTGCTCGCTACATGGAATGCATTATCTTACTTTATGAAGAGGAAAGAATTATAATTTGTACAATTACCTTAGATTGTATGTATTACAAAAGGATGGAATGTATGAAGATGCCCCAACAATTTTTTTTTAGTTCCTTTATCGGTTGGTTATAGCAAGGAGTTATTGTTGATTTGAAGCTACGTAACTTTTTTTCTATTGCCTCAATAAAAATGTTTGAATCCTTTCCCGTGGATGTAGGTCACTTCGACCGAACCACGTAAATTTGCTGTGGTTTTTAAATACTTGTTCCATACTATCCCTGGTCATGGTACAACTTCGATAACATTTGTGTTAATGTTAAATTGCTTTGTAAACGTGCTCATTTATAAAATATGGAGGTATCTGCTTAATTTTGTCTTTCAGTTGTGTGAAGTTTGGGATATGATATTTTTTGATGCGATAAACATATCCAATTAATTTTGCCTTTCAGTGGTTTTGCAACACATGCACGGAGCACACCATGGCAGCACATGCTATTATATTGGTTTTGCAGTACATGAATATGCATTTACATATGTTTTTTAACACATAATTCTTATATATCTACCATGTTTTTTTACCACAAAAATCTTATATATTTCATTTTTGGGGCTCAATATTAGGTTATTGGTGTATCTGAACTTTCTGCTCTGTTTAAAAATGAATTCCTGCTTCTAAAGTTTAAAAAATGTGGTTGTTATAGTCTTCTTTTAAACAGTTTTAGCAAACACGGGCATAATTGTCATTTTTTCATAAACAGCTGACCCACCACTGTTTTCGCACAACTGCACCAAACAGACAGCCGGCTTCCCCGCAGTAGCTTCCCCACAGCAGCTTCCTGGAGCAGCGCAGAAACAGAGGCTATATCAAGTGCTAACTTGTTATATATTTCTATCACACATGGTAGGGAAGCAAATGAACTCAGCATTAGGCAAATACTTATGACTTAACTCGATTGGAGCTCTTTTATGACTACTTAATTAACTAAATAAACGAGCTAAATACTATGCTATTAAATGAACAAGCTTGAACGACTTGATGCTCCACTTATTTAGGATCATGAATGGTATCATTCAAAGTTCATAAACAAGATATTAATAAGCTGGATTATTGCTTAAAATAATGCTCAATATAAAGCTCTAGTATTTGTATATATTATTTATGCAATTTTTTTTTCTAGTATTTGTGCTATTATGGTGGATATTTAATTCATATTTGGATACGTTAGCTATCTTTTAAGTTTAAATTAATACAAAATACTACATTTGATAAATATATGATTTGCTTGTTAAATTTGTAATTTAGTTCAAGTTTAAAATGTAGTTACATTTAAACAAATAAGTTGCACGTTTAAATTTCAATCACATTTAATATTTAATTTATGTTTAAAATTTCAGGGGCTATTTAGTCCAACATTCAAATTTATAAATAACACCGATTCAAACACATAAAATTACTTCAATTTACACATCATTTGTATTATTTAAGGTGTTGTCGAGCCATGTTGTGCGTTTCTTGTTTGAGGTGGAAGGGGTGAGCGGTGGAGTAGCAAATTTTTCAAATGAGCTGGTAGAATTGTTGGACAAGCTTTCCAAGGCTTGTTACTTTAAAAGCTTATCTTTTAAGCTTGGTTCAATAAGCCATGTTAATGTTTCAAACGAGCAACCGAGTTGCTCGTTTAAAGGTCGATGGTCATAAAATGACTCACCTTTGAATAATTTGAACAATTATGGAATTAAATGAACTAAGTTTGAGTACTAGGATAAAAGCTTGCATTAAGCGCAAGCCAAGGCCAAAGCCAAGCTTGAACATCCATTACGAGTTTACTTCAAAGCCAGTCCAACCGTGAAGTGAGCTTGATCTTCTCTAATTGGACCAATTTGATGTTATCGGGGGCGACTTCGAGTGGCATTGCCGAATAGATCTTTTTGGACTAGACCCATGGAGAGAAAAATCATATGGTGTGAAGCTGGCTCTTCTATAGTAGGACCAATTTGATGTTATCGGGGGCGACTTCGAGTGGCATTGCCGAATAGATCTTTTTGGACTAAACCCATGGAGAGAAAAATCATATGGTGTGAAGCTAGCTCTTCTCTAGTAGGACCAATTTGATGTTATCGGGGGCGACTTCGGGTGGCATCGCCGAATAGATCTTTTTGGACTAGACCCATGAAGGGAAAATTCA